CTCTCTCGACTTGAAAACAACCGTTTAACTTGCTTTGTTTGTTTGTTAATTTGGACTTGCACTAAAGTTTCACCGCTAGATAATAAGAATTCACTGAGTAGTCATCACATCTAGGACCCTGGTTGACATTAAAACCCAAACCCGCTATACTACGCTTTAGGTAGTGGTTACACTTGGCCATTTTCTAGAGTGACAGTAGGAGTGAGTCAAGTTTTTGGCGCCGTTGCCGGGGACGGCTAGGTTGTTGAAGAAAAGTGATTCTGTTACTTTAGCATTTTCATTTTCGCATTGACTGTTTGTTCTTTCCCACTTGTGCCTTCACGGGTTTGCATTGCTTGACTGTGTGCAGATAATGCATGACCCGTAGCCAGTCGGGAGGTTTACTGTCGTTGGATCCGGAGCTTGAACTGGCTACGGAAGAGCGCATAGATGGCCACTTGAGCAGCGATTCTGAGGAAGAGTACGAGATGGAAGGCGAATACAACCAACCCCCGGGGAATCCTCTCCAGGTTCCCCCGGTGAATCAGCTCTTGGGGAACAACCCCATACCCCAGGCAGATGGGGTTCATCATCATCCACCGCCGCCGGGTCCAACCTTGGAGTACTACTACACTCCACGGGTTGCTGATATCCGCCCTGTCATCCTCTACTCGCCTATTCTAGCGAACAACTTTGAGATCAAGCCATGTTGGATTCAACTCATTACATCCTTTGTCCAGTTTCATGGCTTGAAGGATGAGGAGGCAAGGATGCACCTGTCCCGTTTCCTGCAGCTGACGAACGGGTTCAAGCTGAAAGGTGTCCCTGATGATGCAATCCGCCTTCACCTCTTCCCCCATTCTCTGGCAGGGCATGCTAAGAGGTGGTTGGAGACCCAGCCCCCATTATCCATCACTTCTTGGGACGATCTGGCTGATAAGTTCGTGCACAGGTACTATACGGCATCGAAGACTATAGAGATCCAGCGGGAGATCACTCACTTCCGCCAAGAGCCAGATGAGTCACTTCGTGATGCATGGGAGCAGTACATGGGATTTTTCTGGCAGTGTCCCCATCATGGCTTCAGTGATGCATTCACCGTGGGGAACTTCTACAGTTCTCTCTCTCCGGAAAGCCAGAGGGTGATTGAGTCTCTATGCCCAGGAGGGGATATCCTTACTAAGACTCCTCCCGAACTAAACCAGATGATCAGTACATTGGCTGCCATAGATCATTCCTGGGGGCAGAGCAGTAGAGGCAGGAATTTCCAGGATCGTGGTGTGCACGCCATGGAGGCCAGATCCGGACTCGAGCAGCAGGTGGCTGAGTTGGTGCAGACATTGAAGCAGCCCAACAGTCTTATTCCGGGCCGAGGTTTGGCTACGCCTCCAGTAGCTCAATGTTAGTGGTGTGAGAGCCCGAATCATCTGGTGGAGGACTGTCAGGCTATGCGAGAGTCTTCTACGCCCCAAGAGCAGGTGGAATTCATCGCCAATGCTCGGCGCCTTGACCCATACAACAATACATACAACGAGGGGTGGTGCCAGCATCCCAACTTTGCTTGGAACAGCAACACCACTAAACCACTTGGTTTCCCAGCACCAGCAGGTGGTTTTCAGCAGAGGCAGCCATTCCAGGCTAGTTAGGGGCCACCACCACAGCAGCAACCCTACCATCCTAGGCATGGGCAGCCATTCCAGCAGCCCCAGCGTCAGTATGCACAGCCTCCAGCAGCTGCAGCTCTAGATAATCAAATGACGGATCTGAAAAATATTTTGCAGGCATTCATGACTACCAGCCAGGCGAATTTCACAAGGATGGATCAGAACATAGCCTCACTGCAGGCAGGCCAGAGAAACCAAGGTGCCATTCTGCAAGATCTACAAAATTAGATTGGAGGCATAGCTCGCCAAAACACTACCAGGGCACCGGGGACTCTTCCTGCCACCACTATTCCGAACCCTCGTGAGCCTCACCAGCAGCTGGATGCCATCACTACTAGGAGTGGCAAGACCATATCTGCTGCTCCTGCCCAGCCCAAGCGAGACGAGCCACTACCTGCTTCAACACTTCCAGCTGATAATGCAGAAGTGGGGGAAGACAAAGAAGCACCTGCTCCCACGCCACACCCAGTGGTTAAGGAGCATGTACCCCAGCTTCCTTTCCCCACTCGCCTACATAAAGACAAGATGGAGACTGAGTTTGCCAAGTTCATGGCAATGTTGAAGCAGGTCAACATCAGCATGTCGTTCGTGGAGGCACTGTCGAAGACGCCCAAGTATGCCAAGTTCATGAAAGACCTCCTCACCAACAAGAAGAAACTTGGGGATCTTTCGACAGTGATGCTGAGCGAGGAGTGTTCCTCTATCCTGCAGAACAAGCTGCCCAAGAAGCGCAAAGAAGATTGACACTGAACCTGGAGGCGGTGGTTCGGGCAGAGATCATGAAGCTGATGGACACGGGGATCATCATCGCCATTTCCGACAGCGAGTGGGTCAGTCCCACCCAGGTGGTACCCAAAAAGGGTGGGATGACCGTGGTGCCTAACGAGAAGAATGAGCTCATCCCGATGTTCACAGTGACTGGGTACCGTGTTTGCATTGATTATCGGCGTCTCAACGACGCCACTCGGAAGGACCACTTCCAGCTGCCGTTCATTGATTAGATTCTGGAGAGATTGGCGGGGCACAAGTTCTACTGTTACCTGGATGGGATGTCCGGGTACTTCCAGATCCCTATTGCACGGGAGGACCAGGCGAAGACCACTTTCACCTGTCCCTTCGGCACATTTGCCTACCGGAGGATCCCGTCTGGGCTATGCATTGCCCCGGCCACTTTTCAGCGATGCATTCTCGCCATCTTTGACCGTCTGGTCGGCGAGATTATGGAGGTGTTTATGGACGATGTCGCAACCGCCCCTCGAGATCGGGGGATCCGTCGCGAATAGGCTCTGAGTCGCCATCGATCATATATGTGGTGGATCGAACACCTTTGGTTCGGTCTCGACCTTTGGGTCGAAACCGGGATTTGGTCTGCAAAATTTTAGAGATTTGGGTTCGGGAGTACAGTTATGTGTGGGGAAGCGTATTCACACCCCACAACGCCCCAAATGGGTACCACTTAAATCAATAAGTTTTAATTTGGTGTATTATTATTTGCAGTTAATGTATGTAATTGTAACATTTAATTATTTTTAATTATTTTATGTGTATATTTTAGAGTCCAATTGGACAAAGTGATTGGTATAAATTTTGAATTGTTGTAGTTACTTGATAATTTTCAAGTCTATTGACGCAAAATATTTCTTAGATTGGTTGGACTCGAACCTATTGGTTGCCTACGTACCCGACTTAGTCGGGATCAAAGTCCACGTAGTTCGATGTAATTGAGAATTTTTTTACTAAAAATGAACCACGTATGTTCTATTGACTCGGGTTCAAAGTTTTTATATTGAATTTTATGAGAAAATATGTTTTGAATTTTTAATGTGGTAATTGGGTGGTTGTCAATTTCTCAAAAACTTCGTCATAAATAGTCAATACGATCTATTGATCAACGCTACGTATTAAGGCTTCTTTCACAAACAGAATAATAATTATATAATTAATGATGGAACTAGTTTAAAAAGTCAAGGGAATGAATATTTATAAATTTTATTATGGATGAATAATGATTATATTTAAGTTAAGCCAAGGATTTTGTTCAGTTGAATGGATTTGAGGTTTACGTATTAAGCTTGTTTTGATATAAAAGAAAGGGTTAATACCCTAGTTTGGCCCGAAGTATAGCGTAAGTGACAGTTTTGGCCCCATTTTTCAAATAAGACATTTATGGCCCACTTTAGAAACTATTGGACAAATTTGGCCCAAAATTTTCTTTGACCGTTAATATTGACGGTCAAACACTATTCTGTTAGTAACTCAGCAAAAACAGCTGATGTGGCATGCCACGTCATTAAATGATATTATTTTAATTTTATAATTCAATTAAAATAAAAATTAACAAAATCACTTATTATCCCAAATCTCCGGCCCCAAATCCCCAAATTCAAACCCTAAACTAAATCAAAATCATCGTCCATAAGAGGGAGGCAACTCCTCCTTCTCCGACGACTACCACTCTGCCGCCTCTCCCGTTCCTTCCCAAAAACCACAACTAACGAGCAGCCTGATTACAGGTGAGCTTGCTCTGGTTGCTGTTTAGCACAGTCGCAGCGGCCTTGCTTGGATCTGGATCTCGCCGGTGATCTGGACCGCTCCAGTTGCCTACCTGTCCGTCGAGCTCACCTCCTCCGCTCACTACCAAATGCTGCATCGGAGAAAACGGATTAAGGCTCTAGGAAACGAAGGAGATAGGGGGATCGATTGAGTTATTAATCACCAGTGAGAAGTCGAAGGAGGGGGAGTTGCTATCGTGAGCGTCGGAGGCGAAGGAGCAGCGGTCGATGCTGGCGGAGGCAGAGGAGAAGAGGCTGAAGTTGGAGGAGTCCTGCGTACGTGAGAATGACGGAGTCGAGGCTGGTGTCCCGGACGATGAACACGGCGGAGGAGGAGGAATGATGGCGGCGGGTCGTGGGTTTAATTGAGGGTGGTGATTTTTGCCAGTGCTGGGGAGAATGACGACGGCGCTGAGGTTTATTTAGAGTGGCGATTTGGGTAAGGGAGAAAGAATGGGCTGGTGGGTTTTGATTATTTAGGGTTAAGGAGTTAAGTTGTCAGGGGAGAAAGAGGAAATCCTTTTAATTTGTTAGTTTTATTTTTATATTAGTTGAATTAAAAAAAAATATTTAATTACGTGGTATGCCACATCAGCTGTTTTTGCTGAGTCACTAACGGACTAGTGTTTGACCGTCAATATTAACGGTCAAATAAAATTTTGGGCCAAATTTGTCCAATAGTTTCAAAAGTGGGTCATAAATGTCTTATTTGAAAAATGGGGCCAGAACTGACACTTACGCTATACTTCGGGCCAAACTAGGGTATTAACCCTAAAAGAAAATTGTATTAGCAAATTTAACAGCAAAACCGAACCGGCTAAGTGGAAACAAAACTAGCCGCCACACACTCTCTCGCTCGGTTTACTACCCTCTCCATCTACTCTCTCGATCCTTCTTTGGAAATCAGGCAAAACCGGGAAGAAAGGCGATGATGGTATTCCGGCCAACATCTCGCCGACGGTAAGTGATGATCTGGGGATTTGCATGTCTGATATTCTGATTTTTGATTCCCGATTTGGGTAAGTTTTGGGGCTCTGAACCCTTTTATTTTGTTTCGTTTTCAGTTTTTGTTTCGATCGACGGAAGGGAGAAGGAACGTCGCCGGCGGCGATCTCTGGCGGTGGTGGTGACGAAGACAGGTGGCCCTCTTTACGGTAAGATTTTTTAGGGATTTCTGTTTTCCTTTTGCGATTTAGAATTCTAATTGTATTATTTTTTAGGTTCTAGTCGAGTACGAAAACAGAGTGGCGAGGAGAGTAGCCGAAGGACGGCTGCCGCTGTCAGTTTTGGGTTTCGTCGGCGCCGACGATGACAGGAGGGGGACACTTGGTTTAGGTAAGTTTGGGATTAATATATGGGTTTTGTAAATCTGGGGTGTTAATTGGGATTGTTTTGAAACCGGATTGTGAGAGTATGATGTGGGTTTGAATATGGATGTTATGATTGATTCTGGCGATTTTGGTTTGAGATGAGTATGAATTCTGGTAATTTGAATTTGTATATTGCTTTCTAGTTTTGGTTTAAAAGAAAGGGGTTTGTTTAGAAGATTAGTAACTGATTTGGTTTTGATAAGTTTTGAAACTCAAACTGTGTTTATGATGATGGTTGATATAGAATCCGGACTTTGGGTTTAAAGGGTCGTTTTTAGGCATTGGGACTTGTTTAGAAATTGTGTCGATTGGGTATGTCATCAGTTGAAATGGATTTGAGATGAGTTTGATTGGGTTTCAACAGAAAACTAGATTATAACTTTGGTATTTTGTAATTAAAACTTATAATGAGATGATTATGGGTGGTGAAGATGCTGATTAGATGATGAGATACCGACCTTGTTGCTTGTAGTTTGGCGATGCCTTTGCCTTCATTTTCTGAACTTCTGTGGGTGTTTAACTGCTTCCTTTCTAACTTCTTGTTGTTACCTCCTTTCCCATTTTGAGCCTTCTTTTGTGGTTGTGCGGGTTTGTGAAGAAGAAGCAGCAACTGATGTTTGAGTCTTTTTTTTTTTTTTTTTTTTGCCCTGCTTTGTCTCTCTTTGTGGCTACACGTGGATTAGTTTGTCTGTGTTTCTCGTAGCCAAGAGGAAGAAGAGAAGTAACAGAGATTTTTGCAGAGTATATGTTATTGGTTTGGTGTATGGATTTAGGAGAGGAAAGGGAAGAGCACCGGGGAAGGAGAACAAAAGAGTTCCGTCGAGGAAGGGGAAGAGAAGAAGGAAGAAGGTTGCCTGTTTTTTTATTGCTCATGGAGAGGAAGAAGGATGAAAGAAGCCGAGAGCAACGAAGTGAAGCAGCTCCCCCCTCCTTCTTTTTTTTTTTTTTTTTTTAACATAGACATCCATAAAGGTAGTAGTCACGAGTCATACAAAGTACAAAAGTAAACCAGGTAGTACGACTGTTGTCGAACTACCTATGAGAGGGCCGTTAGTGCCACAAAAGGGCAGCCCTATAAGCAACTAAACCTGCAAAATGGACAAACACATAGACTACAAAAGAGCCAAAACTTCACAAACAAAATAATCATGATCTCGAGCAGTCATCTTCTCAATCTCAGGATATTAGTGTTCAAAGATTCAGGCCACCGGTTGACAGATTACTGAGATTGCCACATGTCCCCTTTCGCATTGGCTACGAACCGACCAACAATTTCCCTGCAAAATAAACAAAATAATAGCCCAAAAAGGCAAGGCTGAAGAGCCAGGGAAGGCCGGCAGCAGATAGGGTCAGTAACCATTGGTTACTGACCTATCAGTATTAAATCCGGACCGTAGATCTAGGGATGGCATTATTATATTGTTGGGCTGCACGTGGAGTGAGGAGGGGCATTTTTGTCCGATTTTTGAAATTTGATTTCTTTCCTTTTTTTTATTTTTTCCAGCATTTATATGTGTTGTCTTTTAATGGAGGAAAGAGAAAAAGCAGACTTTTCTCTTTCTTCCTTTCTCTCTTCCAAAATTCTTTTTCCAGATCTAAATCTCATTTCTTCTCTTGTTCTTCATTTTTTTCTCCAACAATCGATGAATAAATTGCAACCTCCCACTTCAAATTCGGTGAGGCTCCAAATCCTTCTACTCTCAAGCTGCTCCTTCCTTCTGTTTTTTTCTTTTATCGGCCTCAAAATCGATGATGCTCCATATTGTCAAAGAGGGGACAGATCTAGGTGAGTTGAGTTTGCATCTTTTGTGTTTTAGTATTTGTTTGTGAATTAATTCCGATCTTCTTCCTCTTTTTCTTTCTTTTTGCATTCGGTGTTCTTCATTGCGGAGGAGTAAATGACAGGAGACAGAAGACAAGTTTTTTTTCCCTCTTCCTCCTTCTGTTTCCCCTTCTTTGAGAATATATATTGAGATTACCACACTATACCATATGGTAATGTGTCGATACCATATGGTATTGACACATTACCATATGGTAATGTGTATATACCACACTATACCATATGGTAATTTGTATATACCATATGGTAATGTGTCTATACCATATGGTAATGTGTATATACCATATGGTAAAGTGTATATACCATATGGTAATGTGTCTATACCATATGGTAAAATGTATACCATATGGTAAAGTGTGGTAACGAAATGTATTTTTATGGATATCGTGTTTTACTATGGTCGTAAAAGGGTTGTAATTAGATTTATATTATTTTTATATGGTTTTAACTTCTCATACCATGTGGTTGTATGGTAAAAAATTGGTAATTACAATTAATTTGTGTTCATTCGATTAACCATGTTCTACTATGTTGGCATTGTATGGTAGTTAGATTTACCATATGTTGATATTACCACACTATACCATATGGTATTGGGTGGTAACGAAATATATATTGATATTACCACACTATACCATATGGTATTGGGTGGTAACGTAATATATATTGATGTGCCAAATTTTTTCATACCATATGGTATGGTCAATACCAGTCATTACCATATGGTAATGACTGGTAATAACTGACAAATTTTTTTATGTCTGAAAAATATCAAAGTGGATATCATTTTGAAGAGCACAATTAATCTGATCTAACTGTGCAAAAAAAATTAAATTCTGACTTAAAACGAGTGAGAAATCGTCCGTTAAAGATTAAGAGAAGGAAAATTAAAGGTTGTTTGAGGAGAGAGAAGGCGCTGATGTGATCTGGTCAGCGTCAGCGCGTCAGAGACATCATTAAATAGGGGTGCAATTTTACCTTAGTGCCCCTCCGTATTTTTTTAAATAAAAAGAAAAAGCTGACACGTGGGGGCCAGAGGAAGAGGTTACTGATGGTTACTGAGGTATTGGTTACTGAGGGGATCCGCTCCCGGGAAGGCCAAGCAGGCCCAAAAGTCAAAAGTTTCGTCCAAATAACATAAAGTTGAATGGCCACCACCTCCCCGTTGGGTTTGTGATAAGGATAATCTTCTTATGTCACCACTCACCACGCGTCACTTGTCCAACTCCGTCACTCCACACCGCTTCTTCAACTCTCTCCACCTGGCCGCAGCAATGAAAATAAGGATAGGGACCAAGAAAAAGACCCTATCACCGCCCTGGTAACCATCTTCAACTCCTCCGACAACCACTGGCCTAAGGGAGTCGAGAACGAGACCCCTGGGGTGACGACTGCAAACAGGAGTTGGGACCAAAAAGAGAACAAACTAGGCAAAGAATCCTTGACCGGAGAATGGAAATTTGGAAGAGCCTGCAAAAAACATCAAGCAGAGGGAACAAGCAAACACCAAACCAAGTGAAGGCTGACCGACCACCTCACAGTAACCCAACAGAGAAAAACCGAAAACTAAACTCGGCACACTGTTCACCATCTGACCGGAAGAACAAACAAGAACCATCTTTGAGTAAAAATGATCCGTAACATAGAGTTGGTATGAATAAAACGGTGCTAGAAGGAGAAGTTAACGATGGAACTGGATCCAAACTAGCAATGAAAGCCAACCATCAATCCGACCTCGGAACTAGTAACCCTAAACTAAAATCAATAAAAACATAGGTAGAAGGATATCACCAATCGTTCAAAGAGAGAAACCCCAGACCGCCAACCAAGACCCATCAATCCAAACTGATGGAGCTCGCTCTTTGAATTGGAGAGGTATTTGGGGACGGCACCGGTGGCGGCGGCGTGCCCAGATCTGGTTTCTCATCCAAACCTCTCCTTTGTTGAGACGAAGGTCGTCGCCGGCAGGGTCTTCATCGAAAGAGTGACGTCGACGACGGGTGAGAGAGGAGAAGTAGATCGGAAGAGGGCAGGGACCCTTGACTACCCTTGGTTTGTCTTTCTCGGTAGAAGAAAGAAGAACGAGGTCAGAGGGGGGTTTGATTTCGTTTTTGGGATTTTGATTGTTGAGACGAGGAGAAAAAGAAGGAGGTGGCGGTGGGCTCGTTGAGGAAGAGAGAAGGGTCTGGGTTTTGGTGTTCGATTGAAGAGGAAGGTAAGGCGCCTAGGGTTTGGGTTGCTAGAAGAGAAGAGCCGAGAGAGAGAGAGGCGAGGGTTTAGGGCGGCGGCCACCGCTGATCTCTAGGATTAGGGTTTCGGTTTGGCTAGGGTTTAGCTTTTGATTCGCTGGAGAGAAGAAGAAGAAGGAGAGTATAATGGCTTTCTTCCTTTCCCACACACGTAGAGCGTTCCTCTTTCGTTTTGATAGCTTTGTTGTGGATTGTCTTGTTGAGGCAGAGGCAGAGGCATCAGCAGCGGACATGATTCTCGGCTACTGGGGGTATCGACAGACAGAGCCCATAGGATGGAAGTCGGTGACTGGACTCATCGAAGGAGGCCAGAGAAAAACAGGGATAGAAGAAGGACGAGAGGAATGGTCTTGAGAGGGGAGGTTTAATTTCTGTCGTCCCACTTTTACTTTAGGCGTTTGGGGAACAAGTATGCTACAGTTTCGGTTGTGGTTTTGGGTTGGACCGGTCTAATTTGGTCAGAGCAGATTTTGGTTTGACTTGAGAGTTGGCTTGGGTCACAAATGATTGGGCTTTGACTTTGGTTGACTATTGAGTTGGACTGGGGCTTTTCTTATTTTTGTAATGTAATATGTTTTTAATTGTAATTTTTATTCAGTAATTGTAATTTATCTTAATAAGAACTCAACCCTTTAATTTTAATGTTTCTCCTAAAGTCGAAGTCAATCCTTTAATTTTTAATCTATTTTAATCTGTAATCTGTAATTAAAGTTAGCTATTGCTAACTTCGTGGTCCCAAATTATGACCAATGCTATTGCTTAATCTCAAAGACTTAACATTTAAACCACTTAAATTCACGGTAATGGCACTCTCAAACAAATCTTAGTCGATGATGTGTTGTCCGGACAAAATGGGGGTCTACAGACGATTTCTCGATTTATGGAGACTCATTCTCTCACTGTCTCCATAAACTGGAGCTTGTCCTTAAACGGTGTGAAGAAACGAACCTGGCACTGAGTTGGGAGAAGTGTCACTTTATGGTTCGAGAAGAAATAGTTCTTGGGCACAAGATCTCCAAGATGGGGATTGAGGTGGACAGAGCAAAGATTGAGACTATCAGCAAGCTGCCTCCTCCTACATCTGTTAAGGGATCCGGAGCTTTTTAGGCCATGCAGGGTTCTACAGGCGGTTCATCAACGATTTCTCGAAGATCGCTCTGCCCCTGACTAAGGGTCTTGGGAAGGATGCCCCCTTCCAGTTCACTGATGCATGCACGGCGGCGTTCACAACCTTGAAGGAGAAGCTCACTCAAGCTTCTATCATGGTTGTTCCTGACTGGTCCCTACCATTTGAGCTGATGTGCGATGCTAGTGACTTCGCTGTTGGAGCTGTCTTGGGGCAGAGGCGAGATCAGCACTTCCGACCTATCTACTACGCCTCGAAGACCCTAAATGATGCCCAGGAGAACTACACCACCACGGAGAAGGAGCTGCTCGCAGTGGTGTTTGCCTTCGATAAATTTCGTCACTATCTGGTCTTGTCCCATGTGACCGTGTACACAGACCACTCCACGATTCGATACCTGACGAGCAAGGCCGATGCCAAGCCTAGGCACATACGATGGATCTTATTATTGCAGGAGTTTGACATTGAGATTCGGGACAAGAGGGGAGCGGAGAATGTTGCAGCTGATCACCTCTCCCGGTTGGACGCACCTCCTGCGTACAACCTCGTGGAGGAGATCAACGACTCCTTCCCAGATGAGAGACTGATGATGATGTGCTTGGTGGAGAGTGTCACACCAAGAGGAAGTTCTTCTCCGACCTGAAGCATTACTTCTGGGATGACCCC